GGTTCACTAATGTCCCATTGGGAGGGAAATCTGCTAACTTTACCTGGTCTGACCCACATGTGACTTCAGACCCACGGCAATGTCGTTGACTTCTAACTGCCCTCTGAAGTGGCCAATCTCCCAATTCAAGGATAATTAGGGATGGGCGACAAATGCTGGCCTTACCACTGATGCCTACATCCCATGAATAAATAAAGAAAAAAACAATGGTCTACAATTTCAGATTTGCCAGTCATTTTCCTATTTCTTAACCAAGAGGATATTCTTCATTGTTGAGCTTAACAGATATGTTTACCGCCAAACATTTCTTCTTTGTGGAGGTTTGGCTTCACGCAACTGATTGTTACTCACTGTGGAAAATAAGTAGTTTTGAACTAATTAATTGTTGTTAGTTAGTTCAAAACTACGTATTTCCACAGTGAAGGAAGCTCTCTGAAATGGAGCAATAGGCACTTTTCATATGGACGCTTATTGGCAAGACCATGCTCACTTTAAGTGCTTTGAGTTTTTGTTTGAAACATATACAGCCAAGACAAGCTTGTGAGACAGCTAGTAACTTGATACTTCTGGAGCAGAAACAGCTATTTGGAGTTAGATCACAACTCTCTTTTGAATAACAATTAGACTTGAAGGGCTTAGTGGTCTATTCTTTTTTCCAAGTTATTATTTTTGATGGGTCTAGTACAGAAACAAATAGCCAGGTCCGTCAGGTGCAATTCAATATTTTTTCAAGATCTTCCATTATAATTCAAATTAAACTAACAAATGAAGATATAATTTGAAAATGCTGTGAATGGCTTAGAAACTTGGGATATTGCTTTGTTATGATTTCTGGTAGGAACATCTCATACTTTCACAGATGAAAAATCATAATCTGGTGACTTTCCCTGTTCTTCCTCTGTGTGGCCTTTTTTTGTGGAGGTGTGAAAATATTTTTTATAAAATTAGTACTGAAGATGTAAGATGTAAAACTGTACAAAGCAAAAATTTAAAACAGTAGCACAGATTATTAACTGCCTAGAAATTAGTTCTCTTTCTCTCTTCAAGCAGTATCTTCATTCCCTGAGAGTTACTCATCATGGCTTTCCATGTATCTCTCTGCCATGATATCACTAAGAAGCAAAGGGAAGAGGCAAGAACTGGCTCAACTAGTATGGCCATTCAAGCTGCATTATTGGTGAAGTACCTCACTTTGGCCAACTGAGTTTGCTTGTTCCCCGAAAGAAGCTGCAGGCAACATTGTAAGTATGTGTACGATTAATGGGATAAGTGCCAAAGACAAATTGGAGCACAATGAAACTAAATCATTGACCTTCCTTTTATTTACTTTAACTAAGAAGTCTCTCATACCTGGAAAGAGACAATTTGCAAATCATAATTTTGCAGATCCACTAAATCTGTGAACTAACAGAACCTTAAAATCCTGAAAATGGCTGCAACCCAACAGTACCTATTAATTATAAAGTATTATCATTGTTGTGGTATCACAGTGGAAATCTTGCTATGTTCCAACATATACATTTCAATGTTCCTGATACGCAAGGTGAGGCAATGTTCTTTGCAGGCAACTTTTGATAATACTAACTGTATTCCGTTCCAAATTTGATAACATAGAGAATAGTTTATCTGACAGAAACAAAGAAGTTAGGAAAACAAAAGGAAGTTATGAAGTTGAGATCATACCAGTCTCTTAGCTGCATTACAGGAGCTGACAGATGACCTGCTATTATATTCAGTTACTTTACTAAGGAGCATGTTTGCTTCAGAACAGGGTGAGACCTTTCTTCATACATTCATGACATAACTGATGATGCCATTGTGATCTCCCTGTAATTTCCATCAGATGGCTTGAGCTGGAAGCAGCTTTGAGCTTCACAACATGTTAATCCAGCAAGGAAATGAAGCACAAGGAGGCAGTAGCCTGAACCTACTTTGCCAGCATTGAGACTGCACTAAACATCCCGATGGCTGGCCCCACCACTCACCTGGACATAGCCTCCAGGTCACACACATGCTTCTGCCACTTCTCTCAAACTTTCTGCCAGAGAGAGGTGGAAAGTCAGGCAGCAGTGTTTTAATAAGACCTGGAAAGTTCAAATATTTTGAGCCTTTTTTTAGTTGGTTGAAATTTGTACTGAGTTGACATGAAATGTTGCGAATGGAGAGTAAATTAGAGGCAGGATGTAACATAAAAGGTAGGCATGACACTGATTTTTCCTGTCAAATGGGAAAGGTTAAAAAAAAACCCTGAAAATCACATGCCAAAAGCTGACTCAGTTACATTCAGGGCTATACCATCAAAACATTTCTTCAAAGAAAAGCTTAATTGTTCTGAAATATCAATTTGAATACATCCCAGATGGGCTCAATAATATTTGTGCAATGATTTGATAATAGATTAAGCATTCAAAATCTTTTGGAAGCTAGGCTTATTAGCTTAACAAAGAATATGAAGGCCATTGCTTCAAGACTGCCAACATCCTATCGATACTGCATGACATCAAAGGTAATTTTCAAACAATTGTGGAAGTAGTTGATATGAAAAATGTAGAACTAATTTCTACTTGATGGCCCAACTCCAAAAAGGTTGTTGGTATTTTCTACTAATGTAATACAGAAGTATGCATTTGGCCAAAGCCACTTTCTGATATTGATCCAGCCAACAGAAACTCATTAAAATAGAAATTCAACTTGTAAAATAAAATGAGCCTCTCAGATTACCTGGCATTGTGCTCATCACAGTGAACATAAAGTGACTAGGTGGCATTTGACATGGTTTGCACATTTTCAACTGTCATTAACGAGGATAAGGAATCTAATATTCCTAATACTGCAATCATTTTGAGGCCCTTAGAAAAAGGTGGCTGGAATTGGGTTCTGTTGAAGGGTTAGATATTCAACATTGTGTTTGATGTAGAGGCCTCATATTCCTGGGGTCAGAATGCTTTGTCTGCTTGAGGTTAGGATTTGAGGTGAAACCTAGTGTGTTTAAGTTTTGTCTCAACAATACTTCATCCCAAATTCCAATTGACTTTGTGGAGAGGGAAAAGAAGGCTGGGCCTTGTACTTATCATTTCATGGCCCATATCCATATGGATGTCTGGGTTACTTCACAAATTCCCCACATTATGGGCTGAATCTTGTTGTGATGTCAGGGGTCCTCGCTGCTCAAACAAGAACTGACAAGAAACTAAGCTGCCTCTTCTTGGGAAGGTTCTAGAAAACACAAGTGAATCAGGCAGTGGCAAGATCACAAGGAAATCTTTCATTGCATTCAAGACACCTAGGGCTGAAGTCCTGTCTATTTACAGCTACCAGCCAGAGGCTAGAAGCTCTTGTGTTCAGCAGTACCACCAAGGAAGCTGTGACTGCTACCAGAAGGAGCACCCTCCTCCCACTGCACCCCCCACCGACCACACCACTGCCCACTCCACCCCCAGAGTCCTGGGTTTGTGGAAGACTAAGATCTCAAGCAGGTAGGCAATAGGGAGGGGGAAGGTTTTCACAGAGTTGGGGTGAAGGGAGAAGGTGAGAGAAGAATTGGGAGCAAATGTAGCGGGTTGGTTCTCATCTGTTCCTCACACCTTTCCAATGTCCATTTCTTTGATCAGGGACTGTCTTTGATTCAAGGATCTCGGCCCACCCCGTGAAGCAGGTTGGGACAGAAGAAACATTAGTTTTTAGTGTTAGGCAGATGAGTCTCAGTATCTGTAGAGTTCTTTAATCATTTGAAAAACCTTGCATGACCAACATGATGCACTTTGGTCAGAAGAACAATGAAAGACAATATACAATAGTGTGTACAATTCTAGAGGGGGAGCAGGAGCCAAGGGGCCTGTATGTATATGTGTACAGGTCAGTGAAGGTGGCAGGACTGGTCAGAGAGAAGAGTAAATAAAGCATAGTGTTTCAGCTGCATTAAGCTCGGCTTTATTAATTGGGGCATACAGTACAAGAGCAAAGAGGTGATGTTAACTTTTATAAGACGTTTGCTAGATCTCAGCTAGAGTACTGTGCACAGTTGTGGGCACCAAAATATAAGAAAGGTGTAAATCCATTGGAGAGAGTGCAGATGTGATTTACTAAAATGGTTACAGGTCTGTGAAATTTCAGCTGTGTATATAGAAGAAAACAAGATGGCATTATCCTCCCTGGAGAGAAGGCAGCTAAGAGAAGATCTGATTGAGGTTTTCAAATCATGAATGAATAGGAGAGTTGATAGAGTGAAGGTGTTTCCGCTTGTAAGAGAAACAAGAATAAGGGGGCTTAAAGTGATAAACGAACAAAATAAGGGTGATGTGAGAAAAACTTTTTCACATAGTGAGTAGTTAGGAAATGGAATGCACTGCCTGGAAATGTGATGAAGGTACGTTCAATTGAGGCATTCAAGAGGGCATTGGATAGTTATTTGGATAAAAATGGTGCACAGGAATATTGGGAAAAGGTAGGAAATTGGCACTATGTAACAGAGCCAGCTTAGCTAATGGAGCAGTGGCAGGCACAATGGATCAAATGGCCTCCTTCTATACTGTAATAATTCTGTGATTCTGTGAGCATTAATGGCTCTTACGCGGATTTATTTACGGAATTGAAATCAGGAGCTTCCAATAGGAATGTTGGTTACAATTTAGTAAAAAATGTTTGCCAGTTTGATGCCAAGTGGTTTGCTCATAGTCAGCTTGCATTACAGTACACATTTCTTGATTCTTCTCTTTAAAACTGACAAAAACAATTGATTCTGCTTATATTAAACAGTTTGCCTATATAAAAACAGCAAGGCAATTCAAAGTTAGCATTCTCCAGAACATTTTCTGATGGTTTAATCTGATATCCAAACATTATTCAAACTTAAGCGTGGTACAATAATCCAGGTTATCAATGCTGTCCTCCACTCTATACCTCGGGTTCAATCTGGGTGAAGATTTCAGGAGGTAATGTGAATATTTGTACTCTTCATAGCAGTAGAGAAATTTTGGTGTGACTTGAATATTGATACTTACAGGACTTTCAGATTGTAGAGGCCAGCAAAAGCATGCATGGGGATCTGTGCAAGGTGATTTCCAGAGAGCCGTCTGTAAGAGAAAGGAGAATGTTGCCATGTGGAATTAATCTTAGTAAAATTATCTATCACGAAAATAACTAATTGATAGTGATGGAAATACAAATATTAATTGCCAGCTATGAATTGCTAGGAACAGGTGTACAAGTTAACCTCTAACCAGATTGTAACGAGTAACATAATATTTTGATAAATGTACACATTTATACACTATTACCTAACCAGTATATTCGACTGAATACTCCTGATTGAAAACATTTCAGAATACCCAGTCTAAGTAAATAACTCCAAATTCTCCACCCATGCCCCCAAAATCTGAGCTGTAACTTATGCTGCCAGACCTGTTGAGTTTTCTCAGCAATTTCTGTTTTTGTTTTTGATTTCCAGCATCCACAGTTTTTTTTTTGTTTAGCAATTATACAAGGCTGAACTATTCTGAATTATTGTAGCCTTAATGGACTGGTAGCCATCCACACACGAGAAAAGCAGGCTTTCTATTAAGGTTTCCTGTTCACAAAAATGGTTAGCAATGGACAAGGCATTGAATTCAAATCAAATTAGAATTTAGATGGCTTTGTGGAACCAATGCATTGCTGAACTAAAATTAAAAGGAAAAATGCTGTTTTGAGATTAACGCTGCTTAACCGGCAATTATGCTTGGAATAACGATTAGGATAATACTGAAATGTATTGTGCTTTACATGCAAATGGTTTATCCCTCACTTTTGTAAGAACTAAAGAATTCACAAATCAATATAATTTTTTGAGGAGTTCTTGTGGCGCAGTAATAATTTCCCTCCTCTGAGCAAGGGGTACCTAGGTTCAATTGCCAGGTGATCCAGAGGCATGTGTCATAACAAGTCTGAACAGGTTGTTTAAAAATATCTAAGTATCTTAAAGGAGAAAATTGCAAGTGGGATACCCAATTAACAATATTAACCATTTGCAATGACAACTCCCAAAGCAATTTTTGAGAGCACATTTTACTTATATACTTTACACTTTAAATATATGACTAAAATCATATCAGTTAAGAATATGTTATCTCTGTTAAAGGTAACTTATGGGGCCAAGTGGTTCTGGAGTAATGGTGGAACATAGATTAGTTCACTTAAGTGTGTGCAGCCGTGAGATATATGCTCTCCAAATTTCACCAAACTACTGTGCAGACTAAAGTACATTTGCTGTCACGGGCATGTATTACTACCTGTGCAGTTAACACACCAATTATTCTAAAGCAATTAGATACTATAACAAAAGTATCAATTTGGTTAGTGACTCTTAGTGCTGGGGTGTTGACTTGGTGAGATAATTTATATATACATATAATCATGTTAAGTGAACAATTTGATCTTTAGCGAAATAATGATATCTGGTTGCTGCTTGTAACTAAATTGCAGATGTGGGCTTTATACAGTACTATACAAGTAGCAAACAACAGTAATTTGCTAATGGTCAATATTTTGGATAACATTTGTTAAAATAAATATGACCAATTACAAGATATAACATGGATATAGTTTGTATTAAAAGTTGAATTATGAAAGTAAGATTTCATCTGAGCTATGATATCTCAGAAAGTGACTATTATGACATACATAACAATGTTACATAGTCGCCCACTGGAACATATGGTTATGATTGCTAGAGCTTATAAGATGGCAATGTTTTAAACTGCCTGAAAACAGAATGCCCAGGAATGGCTGTGAAGATGGTTGCCAAGAGGCAGGTGACTTTTGTAAGTTCTGTCGAGTCTCGGAGATACAGCTAGTCTCCATTGAATGTCTTGGTTGAATGTCTGTAAGTGAATGCCCTGTTTGAATGAACATATCTACACACAACTATTTGTGAAATTCAGACCTCCTATTGTTTATGGACTTAACCCAAAACCCAAAATCTATACACGTCTAGAAACTCTGTAGAATCTCTGAGCTTGATACTTCGTGAACAGGGCTGCAGAAACAAATTAGTCATAAATTGGTCTGTATGGCCACCAGCTGTCTCCCATTGTGCAGTAATAGCTTCAAAACCTTAAATCATTCTGCACTGATAATGAAAGTATTACTCATGTCAATATCCACTCAAAACTCTCCTCAGATAAAAAATCTTATTACAGAAAGAAATAGGAAGAAACTAGTCAGTCTGAAAATCGCACAGAAAGGAGCAAAGCAGCAACATCTATAACTTAAAACTGGAGACTTTAACATCATAAAGTCTCTAACTTGTTCTTATTCAAGCCCAACAGTACAGAAATGTGACCTCCTGGTGAGAAGGCAACAAATTTATAACTTTGTGACTTGTTGGAATTTCTGCAGAAGAATCCTGCAGTAATCCTGATATGCATCGCATGCTTATTAAAGGGAGGTCTAGATGGCAAGGGTTGGTGGCATGGTGGCTCTGTGGTTAACACATTTGCCTTGCAGCGCTAGGGACCCACCTTGATTCCAGCCTTGGGAAACTTCCTTTTGTGGACTTTACTCCTTCTCCCTGTGTCTGCGTGAGTTTCCTCTGGGTGCTCTGGTTTCCTCCCACAGTCCAAAGATGTACAGGTTAGGAGGACAGGCCACACTAAACAGCTCACAGCATCCAGGGATGTGCATGCTGGGTGGGTTAGCCATGGAAAATGCAGGGTTACAAGCATAGGGTATGGGGTAGATCTGGGTGGACTGCTCTTTGAGGAGGGTGGTATGGAGTCGATGGGCTGAATGGCCTGTAGCAATTCTTCCACACTGTAGGGATTCTATGAGTTGTATGCTTTCTCCTAAGCTGACCCAAACATCTGTTATTGTGAACTGTTCTTTAGTAAACGTCTTGTTTTATTCGCTTTATCTGCTTTAATTATATTTTTTCTTGAGTTTGTGTGTATGGTTTGAATGAAATAGATTACACATTTGGATGTGATAGATAAACAATCCTCTTTGTTAATCCTTTTTATCGACTATGTAGTTTTGTCTCTAATTCTAAGTGAAGTAGTCTTTAGTCAGGCAAAGGCAAACAGCCTTCAGTCAGGGGTCCAGGCACAATAAGTCAAGGGCAGTGGTTGATATCAGGCCAGAGGCTTCAACATGTTCAATTAGTCACTTAGGGGTGGTCAGGGTCAGGGGTCCATATCACTACAGTCTGTGGAGTGGGCCATGGTCAGTCCTGCAGATCCTGTGCAACCAATACTGAAAGTGGTGGTAAGTCAGTCAGGGAACTACATAGATATGAATCAAAAGTTTGGTCACTCGCTGTCAGTCCTGGGAATCAGCTCAATGTATGTCAAGTGTGGTTATTAGGATGCTCTGCTGTGCTAGAGAAGTTGGGTAAGTCAATTCTGGGGATTGTGGATGGCATGCTGGAATGCAGAGGGGACAATAATTGTGAAAGGAGAATCTCAGCATATAAGAAGGGATGATGATAGGACATGTGTTACTACAGGAAAGCTTGGGCAGGTGGGATCACTGATGGTCACAATCACTCTGACCCTGAGGAGGGGAGAGTGCAGCATGATGGTTGATATGACTTATCTGCAGAGCCAGGGTTCAGGGGGTAAAGTTGGGAGATGAAGTCATCGTTCAAAGAGGTGTGTGGAAGCGCAGCACTGATTGGGTTGACAGGATATGCAAGAAAGAAAGGAACCTGGAGTTTCAGGAGGTCCTCTGGATTAGCAGGCTGGACCCAAGACTGTCACTGCCAAATGTATCCTGCATTACCTTCCATACTCATGTGAATTGTAAATGCGCAATGGGAAATGGCTGTGACTACACCCTCAGAGTGCAGCTAAGTAGTTTTTTTTTCAGTCTGAGCATGCAGGCTCTACTTGTGAGCAATGTGAGTCCTTCAAGGGGCAATTGCATTAATCATGTACTTTCACATCTGTAAAATCATCTGTAATCACACTATACTGCATGTGAAACATATGCATTGTCCAACTGTGAGGGATACAAATCCTGGTCACATGAATCGACCTTGTCATTACTCATTGCAGATTGAGGATAGTCATCTCTTTGAAGCAGAGGTAATCACAGGAATATTTAAGAGTGGCACCTGCAGGCCACAATTCACAAAGATAATCCAAGACCTCCACAAGGATGATTCCCTCTCATTTCAACTATAAGGACTCACCAACGTGCTCTTACGTGCAATGCTGCCTCTCTTGAATAATGTCGATTGGGCTATCAGTAATCAAGTGTCAGCTGTCCCACCTGAGAAGGTGTTTTTTTTCACTCCCGCTATGTGCACAGTGAACTGCTGGCAGGCAATACCTGGCTGATAGCTCTTGACCTGGTTCACAGTTGATTTCTGGTAAAATTCAGCCCTTAATTTCAGTATTTGAAATTGAGGAGTGCTAACCTTTTTTACTGAATTAGAGAAAGAGATGTTAGGGATTTAAGGCTGGACCACAACTACAGTATTGATACCAGTGCTAAAATGCAGCAATGTTAATCAGGAGTCTCATTCTCGAATAAAATTGGCAGGGATTTCATCTTCCAACATTTCAATGTCAGTGCAAATGCAACATATTAAGAAATTTTGAATTCAAATGAAAATAAAATCAGATTAACATCTGCAGGATTAAAATAAATACAAATGGGTTGATTGTTTCTGACATCTAGCACGCATTTCTTAACTAGGAGAAGTACTTAAGAAGGACCTAACAATGCTGAGTGGCATGGTGGCTCAGTGGTTAGCACTGCTGCCTCACAGCGCCAGGGACCTAGGTTCAATTCCACCCTTGGCTGACTGTCTGTGTGGAGTTTGCACATTCTCCCCATGTCTGCATGGGTTTCCTCCCCTAGTCCAAAGATGTGCAGGCTAGGTGGATTGGCCACACTAAATTGGCTGTAGTGATCAGGGATGTGTAGATTAGGTGGGTTATAGGGGGAGGGGGATGGGTGGGATGCTCTGTGGGTTGGTGAGGACTTGTTGGGCTGAAGGGCCTGTTTCCACACTGTAGGAAGTACATGATTACTAATTAGTATAATAAAAACAATCACATATCCAGTTTGCTCCAAAGCAATTTAGATTGGC